ACTTGTCATTTGCACATATATTGTTGCTCTTTTGTTAGTTTTGACTGCTTTTATTGTCCTCATTTGTAAGTCGCTTTGGATAGAAGTGTCTGCTAAATGACTAAATGTAAATGTAAATTTGTGTTTTCAGATTAATATCCAAGAACATGAATAAAACACTGAATATAAATGAAACATTAAACGCTGGCAATGTATTTACAGGCCTTGTATTGTGGGTGACAGAGTAAATTTAGAAATACATAAGGAGAGCATAAGTACTCCAGCACAAAGCATACAATTGCACCTTGTGTGCAATTACTAGGCTTTATAAATGTTAGTTGTTCATCAACTTGCTGCAGTACTGCTCTATAAGCGAACACACACACAGCTGTACACAAGTCCTAGCTTTGGCTCACCTACATTACATATGGCACACATGCAATAATTCCAAAATAATTATCTCATTTGCATTTGATACATACTGTACATCAAACCATCCATAACACACAGCCAAAACTAAAGCAAACTGTTTGATGGTGAACTGCAAAATCAAAAAACTAGTGCTGTATACAATCATTTCTTAGTGCAGATATTTAGAAACATTACCTCAACACCAGGATTGCAAAGACTTTTATCAAAGATCATCTTGCCTCAAGGGGTATCTTACCCTGCTAATATATGTGCAATTTTCTAAATTAAATATTTGTGTGATATTGTTTTGGATTTCATTATCTTTTAAATGATATCTTAACATTGTTTTGATGCTTTTAAAACATTCAAAATCACAAATACATAGAGCATATGGCATTTAAAAAATGCATGGCTAATGCAAACAAGAGGGGAATAGCCTGTTACATCCAGCTGCTTTTTGTTTCCTCCAATAGTTTTATGTCATCCTAAATTAAAAACAATCATTTTGTTGCATACAATCATAACATTAAATGGGGGGGAAAAATGCTGTAATGGAAGACCACAATTACAGACACAAAACAAGTACAAACCTAACATGTCGTTTACTAAATAATTTAATGTGTTGATGGGACCCTGGTAGTCAGAAATGTGTTCTTGTATGTAGTTTGTATGGTTCACTGCACATTCACATTGTTGTCATCAGAAGGTACTGGATGTCACAATAATTCTATACTGGCCAGTCTCAAGCTAAAATAGGTAGGGTGAGATGGGTAAGATGCCACCCTTAACAATGTGCATTTACTACATTATACAGCATATGAATATTTACATATTTTGTTGCCCATATTTTAATTGAAGATAAGTCATTACAGCAACACTACAAATTCCAACTGAATGATTTCACTCAGCCTAAAGGTTTTAATGAAAAGTTAAGATCTCTGAAGTGTACATTGAATTCATGGAATTAATAAACATTGTTTATTAAATTAAATTAAATGTATCCATGTATTAAATTAAAAACAACATGCTGCTTGAGGCCAATTGTGGGAGGGGCGTCTTATTCCAAAGATATCATTTTAGGTAGTCTAATTTTAAGAAGAGCATAGCCGTTTATCAATTGTGTTGAGATGACATTTTGTGGCATCTATGGCCAAGAGAAAAATCATCTTGCCTCAAGGGGTATCTTACCCTGCTAATATATGTGCAATTTTCTAAATTAAATATTTGTGTGATATTGTTTTGGATTTCATTCTCTTTTAAATGATATCTTAACATTGTTTTGATGCTTTTAAAACATTCAAAATCACAAATACATAGAGCATATGGCATTTAAAGAATGCATGGCTAATGCAAACAAGAGGGGGATAGCCTGTTACATCCAGCTGCTTTTTGTTTCCTCCAATAGTTTTATGTCATCCTAAATTAAAAACAATCATTTTGTTGCATACAATCATAAAAGCATAATATACAGGGGCAGGGTGAAGGTAACCCGTTTTTCAAGTTTTCACCTGTAACACACAGCAACAATACTTCACAGCATCACACATGATTCTACATAATCTAGCACTCGCTTACACGCGTAAACAAACACCCGACACCCCAGACATATGTGGTGTAGTTGCAAAACAAAAATACAAAAAGAAACAATCTATGCCAAAAGTTGCTTACTTTTTAACAACATTTTAACTTGCTATGTCTGGGAATTCAACAGTAGCCATATTCAAGCACCAATATTTGATTCTTATCTTTGAAAGCATTATATTTAAAACAGCTCATGAATCTTTTTTTCTGCAAAGCAAGCTAATGGCTATGCCCCTGTTGAAGGCAAGCACTTATTTAGTATTGTGTATTCACTCAATTTTTTTAATACTGAAGATTTGTAGCAGCCAGTGCACTGCATGATTGACAATGAACACGAACTGAATACTACATGGTTTTCAATCAATGAGTCCACAACAGATATGGTACAGGAATACAGTGACACACCGACTCATTCACTCAATCATGGACGATAACTTAGCATAATCATTCAAACAAGCCACAGATTACAACTGTTGAAAAGAACAATGTTTACACCTGCTTTAGCTTGTGAAGTGTGTCCGCAGTCTTTGAGAAAGCATATGCCGCATATTTGCACCACTAATAGTATCACAATACTTTTACAAATGTGCCACGAATATGACAGTTTCCAAAGAGATGTGCAGTACATGATTGACATGATTGTGTTTTGTTTTTTGCAAAGCAAGCTAATGGCTACGCCCTTGTTGAAGGCAAGCTTATACTACATATCGACCTCCCTCGGGCCCCCTGGGACCTCGCTTTGCACTTGCATTGGCATTAGCAGAAGTGGGGCTGCTAAACTCCTTGGAAGCAGATTTGGTCTTTCCCCCGGGAGAAGTTCCCATTGGGTGAATCTTGAGGATTCCTCCAGGTTCAACAATAGTGTTGATCACTGTGGTATGACAAAGATAAAACACCAATGGATGTTCTGTAGGGAAGGACCAGAATGTATAGTATACATGGTCAAAGGTAAAAATCTAATGCTAATAAACTCACCTTCAAGTTGTCTCTGGACTCTTCGCAGTTCTTGGAGAATAGATGAGGAGAAGTTCCCATTGGGTGAATCTTGAGGATTCCTCCAGGTTCAACAATAGTGTTGATCACTGTGGTATGACAAAGATAAAACACCAATGGATGTACTGTAGGGAAGGACCAGAATGTATAATACTATAATATAATAATGTATATGTATAATACATGGTCAAAGGTAAAAATCTAATGCTAATAAACTCACCTTCAAGTTGTCTCTGGACTCTTCGCAGTTCTTGGAGAATAGATGAGATTTCCTGCTTGCGAAGTGAGGAAAATGTTACAAAAATAAAGAAACATCTCTGAAATTAATGTTTGGTCTTTGGAAATTACATTGAAATTAATGTACCTTATTAGATGTCTTAAGGATGGGAACCTCATTTTCAGCATTAATTTTTGCCTCTATTTCCTCCCAGACCTCTGTCTTGTTATGAAACAGAGCTCTAAAAGAGACATAATATTTGTGACTACTAGAGACAAAAAACAGACACCTGGGGCCTCATTTATAAAGCGTGCGTAAACTCAGATTTGATCTTAGAGTGTGCGTACGCTTAAATCCATGCCAACGCTCATATTTGTAAAACTGTCTGACGTGAAAAAGTGCTTAGCATCACGTCAGTGTCTGAGTAGACGTACGCACTTTTTCTTGTCGGAGTACTGCAGGTTTTTGGAAATGTAGCTGTTCTTACAGCTCGCTGTTCTAAATGAAAGAATTTGGATGATGACTGCAATCTTTTACACGTTAATGACATTAATTAGGAGTCGTTTACAAGGCAGAGAGCTGAAACCATTCATTTGCGCGCAAGTTCAAGATCATCTGCGATTCATAGATTTCACATCTGCAAGAGATGCGTATGTGTGTTTTCTGTGCGTATGTTCATTCTATGAATCACACATACGCATATTTGAGAAATGATCGTAAGATCAAATTTAGGATGGTTTCTGTGCAACATTTTAGAAATGAGGCCCCTGGACAGTATTGCTAGATCTTTGTTTTAAAGATCTTAATAGAATCAAAAGGCATTGTGTGCTTTGAAAATCACAGTATATACAGTATATGCTAAAGTAAAATTAACCTTAAGCAGATACACACATCTCAAATATATAGTCTCTATTGTGGGAAAATGGACCAAAAATACTGATGACTCATCCTGGACTACACAAATTTTGTTATATTCTCTAGGATGAGACTCTCCATTCTCCTAATGCCCCCTGGTAACAGCTAGCAAGTAATTTGTAGACATGATGTAACTACAGCATAATGACCTTTAAAAAAAGAAGAAGAAGAAAAAAATGAAAGAACAATCCCTTCAAGATGTCCCACCCAAAGTTTGTTTTTAAATATGAACGTTTTTCTTCATACTTCATTTTCTCTGCTAGTTGCTCCGTGTTCTCTCTGATAGCCTGGGAGAGCTGGGAGACTGGATTTAACATAAGATTGTCCAAAATTACCTGTGATTTAAAGAAAAAAATCAAAGATTAAAATGAGAAATTATGTAATTGCATTTTTTTCTATTCAGTTTCTGAGAGGCACTGCCATTGGCTATGCAGGCAATTACACCCTGAGTAAATAACTAATGGATCAGTTTATTAGTGTAATGAGCAAAGGATTTGACCAAATTTGACCTCTTCACGGTTCCAGGGACGACGTCTGGAACTGTCATGGTCGTTCATATTTGAGTCCTGGTCTATTGGACTAGTTGAGCCTGGAGGAACCTTTTGATAGTTCAGACTTGCCTCGGGTATATGCTGTACCAGCTGCAGATTAATCAGGGATGGGAAAGCACCAGTAAGAAAACGTGGACATGACAATGGCAGATTAAATTTGATGTTAAGAGACAAATATCTCAGAGCTCAGATTACAATGGAGGCTTCCAGGAGTAAATCTCTGGGAAGATATCTGTGTGGTCATGCTAATTCAATGGTGAATAGAAAAGGGTTCTATGTTCACAGTCAGCACAGCAACTTTGATCCTAGTTTCTTCAAGATACATTTGGAAATTATTTTTAATGTGAACATAACCTGTTTTGTGAACATACAGCCTTAGGAGTGAATTTGGAAGTGAGTTTCCATGCATTAGGGAATTCCCTCATGCATACAAAAGGCAGGTTTGTTAGTACATCGATACTTGCTCACAGAGAAAGTAATTTAATTAATTTTGGACCACTTGGTAATAATGAGTGCACCAGCACCTGAGGTAACAGGAACCTCTGTAATGATGCATATGGTCTCTGCACAAAAGAGAAAATATACAACAAAACGTATGCAAGATTAAACAAAAACGTTTACCTTAGTCTTAGTCCTTTTTGGGACACAATATAATTATCATGAGGTGTACTATGGTATAGCAACCCAAGACTCCAAAACAAACAGGCTCGCTTACCTACATTTTATCTACATTTTTTCCTCTTTGTGCTAATAAGGAAAATATAAAGATTTGCTGCATGTTCTGCTTTATATTAAAAAAAGTAATGGAATGGGTCAATGTATATGATGGGATGTCATTTAACCAAGCAAACTTTAGGTGCACCTCCTCTCTGGTTGAGATAGTGGATGCTGGGGTATTGGGCATGGAGCCTGGGGAAGTGGTAGCTCCCATGCCTGACGACGTCTGGGAGTCACCATCCCCTGCAACATCATGGATTTCACGTGCGAGGATGGCCAGATCTTTGGCCAAATCTTGACTCAGCCTAAAGGAAGTAAGCATATATGTAAAATGAAAAAAAAAAGAATTACAAACTAGCGAAACCATTAGCATATCACACCACAACAACAACAAAAGTTCAATAACCTGGCAATTTCTGCACTATGAGTAGACCAGTTCTGGAAGTGTTCATTCTGAGTTTCGTCCTCTTCTGTTTCCAAAGAGCCACATTTTAGCCTCATTTGAATGGTCTTCTGTGGGGTCTGTGTCTGAGTTGAAGCTGAGGCATGAGAGCGTTTATGTTTGGAATTGGTCTCAAACTCCTCCTCTGAGGTAGAGGAATAATCTGAATTCTTTTGTCTACGGTGGGAACCTCAAATTACAAACAAAAAAGGGAAATTAACATTTCTAAACAAAACATCAAATTACAATTTTGTCAGTGATATCGAAAAATGCAATGTTATGCAATTCTAGTGGTCTTGTCTAGAGGAACTGTAGGTAGAGAACATCTCTGAGATTTAAGATACTCACCAGTTGTGCTACTGTGTTTAACTTGGTTAGAACGGGTACGGGTGGTGGAGTGCTTCCCTACTGATGCGGCCCCTTTGCTGGTAGCCTGCCTCACCTCACTTGAAGCCCCTTTCCTCACACTGCTATTTGCTTCTGTAGGACGGTTAGAAATGCCATGCTTGCTTGAGGTGGACTCATTGTCACTTGGAACAGTGAAGGATCTAGTGCGTTTCCGAGGCATGGCAAGAATGTCCAGTCTTGACAGCTTCTTTCCCTCAGCAGGAGTCTTACTATGGTCGGAGCTCTGAGATGCATGGTCTGTCTCCGCACCCTCATTATCAGAGGTCTCACCTAGTCGAGCTCGGCGGAGCATGGAGGCACGGGTTGGTCTTGGGGCTGAAAGGCTATTGGACCGGGTCAGCACCTGTTGGCTTCCTTTGGTCATCTTATTAGGGTCCTCCTTCTGCAGGGGTGCAGTGAGTCTTTTGCGGCTGTTGGGTCGCGAACTTGACTCATGGTCAGAAGCCGCAGCTTCATGCCACAGCTGTTGACCATGCTGATTATCCGAAAGGTCTAAAGAACCACGGTTACCAGCACTTCGACGAAGCTGTAGCCGACAACTTAGTTCAGCTTTATTGGTATTATCAGCAGGGGCATGATTTCTGCGTTTTTCTGATAGTCGTTCACGAGCTGTAGGTTGTCGTGCTTTGTCTTGTAAACCAGAAGATGACTTCTCTTTACGCATATCACCTGCAGATGTGTGCTTCTTATTTGCACTGACAGGAGCATTTTTATTGCTGACCATGCTTACAGTACTGGCAGTATCAACATCTGAATCACCAGAAAGGGAGTCCTCTTGTGCAGGACAGCTTCCTTTTTTTGATCGTTGACTAGATTCAGGTAACTTTTCTTCTGGTGATGTCAAAGATTTCTCTGCTTCCTTAGGATAGAGAAATGTATCTCGAACAGCTTCCTCGGTATCCAAGCTTCTCAAAGCAGGATGACTAGAGATATGTGGCAGTTTCTTGACTTGAATGTTATCACTTGGCCTATCTTTGGTAAAACTCTCCTGTCGAACAAATGACATTGCGGTCTCTTTGGTGGGCACCACATCCCTGTTATGCGTCTGAAGATTTGGGGCTGATGAGTTAGGCTTCACTGGACGCCTGGACTCATGGCCACTCAAATGTCGTATCAAGACAGTTGTTGGAGGTAACTTGGGAAAGGAGTCTCTCTCTGGCTGTGAAAGAACTGGACTTTTGGACACATCTGACTTGCATGAACCATCCTCAGAACCAATATAAAATGAGGTGGGTTTAGGAGTGGGTGTTGGCAACTCTCTTAACCCTCTGGAATGGTTAACATTTTCAGAAGGTGAATGTATTGTAGTTCCTCTCTTTCCTTGGCTCCTTCCACTCCTATCAAGGATAGAGCTGTCGTCTGAACGGCTAGTGTCACTCAGACTGTCTGGGTCCACATCGTCTTGGACACATAGCCTCTGAGTGCAGTCCTGCTGCTGTGGTGCTCGGGAACCTTTCTCTGGTGGCTCATGGTCCATGTTTGATTCATGCCGAATCAAAATACTAGGGGTTGTGTTCTCCATCTTTTCTCCAGGTGGAACCTGAGGAAGTAGTCTCCTGGTCCTGGAAACTTGACTGCCCTCTGACTCAAAGAAATCCAAGCTTTGACTAATCATTGATGTCACACTGTCATCTTAAAAATGATAAGAGTGAAAATAGTTATGAATTAGCTGGCCTATACATAAAATCGAAAATTGTATAGAAACGCTCAATTGTTCAAACACCACTAGTGGTTTTCAAAGAACATACCTCTGTCTGCAGGCCCACTTTGGGGTGGAATTC